GGGGAGACTGGGATGAGGGAGGGGGCTGCTGCGGCGCTGACACTACAGCCAGGGGCCGGTGGCCATCGATCTGCTGGTGTTCGTGATTTCTTTCTGTTGTCTATTTTTGTTAACACTGTTTTCTATTAAATGAGATCTGCATTCGTCACCGACTCCCCCCCCACTACTCACCCCTGTGTCTTTTGGTGCCTTATGGGCAGCGTTTGGGTCATCCCACCTCAAAAATCAACTTTTGGGGGCCTTTATACAGTAAATTCAGTGATTAAACCACCCCACCCCCCCCCCCTGAAAAAAAAAACCCGAGGAGGATTTTCAGAGTGGGTGGGAGATGCCAGCAGGGCACTCTTCTGTGATTAATTAATGCTGACGAGGCCCCATTTGCCCCCCCCCCCGCCCCGCACCATCAGCATCCCTCCCAGCAGTGATTTGGGCTGATTTCCCCCCAAAATTAGCACCCCCTTATTGCTTTGTCCAGCCTCTTGGCCCCCCAAGACCCTCCCTAAGGAGGACACAGGACCCCAAAAAAGCATATTTAAGCCAAGATGTGGAGCGGGAGGTTTAACTGGTTTATTATGGGATGAGCCCAGCGGTCCTGGGGAGCTTCACCGGGCGTTCCCAGGGGACGTGGCTCAGGGATGTCCCCGCTTTGGGGCCACCCTGATACGCCAATGGCTACTTCTTGGGGGTGTCCCCCATATCCCCCCCTAGGGACCCACTCACTGGGGGATGGTCCCCGAAGGGGGGGGGTGGCAGTGGGTGCTGGGGTCCCAGGCATGGGGGGGTTGGGTCCCGGGGGGGTGAAGGTCACCCAGATGCCAGGGGTCCCTGGGATGGCAGGGACCACCACCCCCGCTGACAGGAACCCCCTGGGTCATCCCAGGTCTCTCCTAGTCCCCTCCAGTCTCTCCCAGTGCTCCCCAGTCTCTCCCAGTCACCCCAGTTCCATCCTCTGGTGGCATTTTCACCCCCTGCAAGTGTCTTTTCTTGGAGGGGGGGGGTGGGACAGGAACTGTCCCCATCCTCGTCCCCAAACAGCTCCCACAATATGCCGGGGAGGACAATGAGTCACGGGCATCCTCAGGCCACTGACCGTGGGGACACCCCGGTGTCACTGATGTCCAAGCCTATTTTGGGGACCCCACAGCCAGAGGCATCACCCAGAGACCCCATGCCGGCGTTACCCATCACTCAGGGTGGGGACACTGGATGCCGCGAGACACTGGGGCGGCGGCGGCTTTCTGCAAGCGGTCGAGGCCACGTAGGAGCCCCATCTTGTGCCGGATGGAGTGGTCCAAGTTGACGGTGACGCCGAGGAAGGCGCGGGCATCACGGGCGGTGAAGGGGAAGTCGCAGGCAAGGAAGGTCTGGAAAAGCTCAGGGTCCTCGTCCAGGCTGAGGACGTTGTGCAACTGCTGCCGCAGGGCGCTCAGTTCCCCCACGTTCTCCTGGAAGATGGTCCACAAGGATCGCGTGCCGAAATCTGGTGCCGGCTGGCTCTGCCAAGCATCTTCCAGGCACTGCAGTGCCCAGCTCAGTCGGCACGGCCACTGGTCGGCCAACACTACCCAAGCAGCAGCAGCGCGGGGTGAGGGGGTGTCGGGGGTGCCGGCACGGTGCAGGAGGAGCCGTAGGGTGATGGGGATGGTGTTGACGATGCGGCGGACATGGACGCCGTTGGTGGGGAGGTAACGGGTGAGAGCATCGGCGCTGTCATGGAGGCAGCTGAAAGCCTCGTGGATGCAGCGGACGGCTTCGGCATCCGCTTCCCGCAGGCTGGGAACCACCAGGACGCCCTGGCACTTGGCTCGGCGGCGTTCCACATTGCTGGTGATGATGCGGTACATGAGGTCCTCCCGCGTTTGGACGGCGGCTTCCAGGCATTGCAGGCGGGAGCGGGCACCCATCTCGGGGATGGAGAAGGGCAACGTCACCGTCCGGTTGAGGTAGAGGTAACCGTTGTCGGCAAGACCCTTCATGCAGCTGGTCTGCTCCAGGCAGGGGACAATGACGCTGGGGTCCACGGCCAAGATGAAGATGAAGGGGGTGTTGGCATCGGAGAGCAAGGTGTTCATGGCGTTGAGGACGCCAGCCACCTTCTCTGGGTAGCAGATGTCCAGGCTGGTGATCTCCAGCACCACACGGAGCCGTCGGCGTTCAAAGATCTCCATGAAGGCCAAGAAGTCAACCAGCACCTCCACCTCGTTGCGCACCTTGCTCATGAAGCCCAGCTGACTGGTGAACCTCTCACTGTTGGTCAACCGCTCAATCTTCTGCTTCTCGCTAACGAGCAGGTTCTTCAGGACAGACAAAGCTCCCAAAACCAAACTGGAACCTGAGAGTGAGGTGACAGCGCTGCCCACCACCTTCAAGGCATGGTGGTCCTTGATGCCGGGTACCAAGAGGGCTACCAGGAGGATGCTGAGGCCAGCAGCCAGGACGAAGAGCATCCCCCAAAGCTTGAGGCAGGTGCCCTTCTTGAGGACCCACTCCTTTTGGCTGAAGCCAGAGGCGAAGCGGGGTCGGGTGCCCATAACATGGTAGACGCTGAGGGGCAGAGCTCCAAAATGGTGGCGGATGCTGTCGCAGAGGGTGGTGACCAAACCGGCCCAGAGTTTGTCGCAGCCAGCATACTGCCAGGCGCTGAAGCGGATGAAGATGAACTCAATGTTCTTCCTCCTCAGGTGGCCCTCGGTGATGATGGGCTTGTAGAAGGCCAAATACCAGAGGACCAGGAGCAACCCCCAACCTTCAGGGCTACGTGGCTTCTGGTGGCTCCGGTGCAGCTCGGCCTCTTCCCGCTGTGCCATCTCCTCCCGCATGAAGCCTGAGGA